TGTGTGTGTGTGTGTGTGTGTGTGTGTGTGTGCATGTGTGTGCAAAACGTCGCGTCCTATATACATGTTTATTAATACACAGTAAGTTAAAAGGATAATGCACAGAAAATAGGTGAGGCTCTGGGGAGCCGAAACTTACCAGAATAGGATTATTAGTTATATAGAAATCGCAGTAGTAGATCGGTAGTGGCGATCCCGGCGATGAGTAGGAGTGCTTTTATACCCCAGAGGAAAAAGATCGAAAGTTTAATAAGGGTAGGGTGGTTAAGGTTTGAACCAGGGACAGGGGTACTGCACCATAGTAACGTAGTTGATCTTTAATCTATTTTTAATAAAAACCATTAATCATTAATTGACATATTACGAGATAGGACTTACCCGAAAAAAACTCTGACGGGTCGGTACGCAGGTACCACGCAGGTAATGGCGCCCATTTTTGGGACTGGGGCTCACACGTGCATGTGGAATAAGTTCCCAAAGTATCAGCCCTGTAGCTTTTGTAGGTCTTGAGATGAAAAACCGATACAGTCGCATACACAGACACAGAGACTCACACGCACACAGACAACCCCTCGTCAATTTGCGTTTTCTGCATTGCATAGCTGCAAAAAACGCATAAAAATCGATGCAAATGAGCACATAGACAACCCTTCGACAATATGCGTTTTTGCATCGCACAGATGCAAAAACGCACAATAACGCAGTAAAGAACGCCACTTTTTCGATTATTAACACACAAAAATGCAAAAAAAAAAAATCTAGTCTCTCAGCTCCCTCACTACCTTTTTCTACGCTCGTCGATGTGACATAGACCAGAGAAGCGGAATTCTGTGCCGCAAAAAAGATCGAAAAGTGTAAATCAAGATTTATGTATAGAAATAATTACAAAAAAGCGCGCCCATGAACTTAATAGTGAAATTTATGTCAGTTATTATGAAAGAAAAATCATTCCTCAAAAAAAACCCAGCACTTCCTGCATTCTATCGAATCAAAACAAAGGCCGAAACACGTCGCGCGATTTCATACATTACCAGAACTGGAGAGAATTTTCAATCATCACCAGTACGCTGTCGTATTTTCATCATAGTTTTTCGCTTCTTAAATTCAATCGGGCTATCTTTTGCTTTCTTTTTTACTGCTGCTGTCTTTTCAGTGAACGCAACAACATCTTCTGGCAACACTACGGGCTCAGTTTTTCGTTTTCGACCGGCTTCCTCGGACGGCAATTCCCAGTCTCTGTAAAAGGATCGTTTACGACTTATCGTTCATAAAATACTTTTCCATTTTTAGCTTGTCATGCCCAAAATCAATATCATTTATTCATTTTGGTCCTTTTTACGCGTTTTGTGCTGTGTAACAGCAGTACAAAACGCATATTGTCACGGAGTTGTCTGTGTGTGTTTGT